GTCCAATTGTATAGCAGCAATAACAATAACATAGCAATAACAATCATGGTGGTAAAAACGATGAATATTCAGTAGCCATTGTTGTTCTCTTCAGTGAGTGTATATATCCGCATTCATTTGGCTATCTAGATGACCCAAGGATCTCATCGAAGCTTAATGAACCTATTGATTAGACTCTCTTTGGAAGCGTATATGCAGAAATCATCCAATTAAAGTGTTGAGAGGCGATTTAAAGGGATATGAGAAATGGCCAAATTGTATTAGTGACATATTCCAGCCAGAATATGATGGGTTGGTTGTGTGAATTGATTGGAAGATGGATAATTGATTTGACTAAATGGGCATATATCCATCCGCAAGAGGGATGTGGAACGGAAAAGAGGAGCGAGCATCAGGATATGACCAGAAGGAAGTGCTTTATATCGATCACAATGGTTGTGTAGGGAATGTTCGTGCAGTATTTCATTTATTGAGTTTTTCCAATGAGTGTTGAGTATTTACTGCCTAACTATAATATTTCATTTAGTTGGGTTAGATTAAGATGGAAGGAAGCACAAAAATCCATAGAATGATCCTAAATCGTAGTAGTAATAGCGAAATGGATGATGAATGTGCAGCGAAATGATCTAAAACTATGGTTTTGGCCAGAAAATTGTTTGCTCGTGCGACTGAATAACGCCAAAATTCATCGAAAAACGAATAAGAGTCTTCAGTTTTTGTCTCTGAAACAACGCAAATTGTTCCATAGTACAGCTGGATCGGGAACTCACAGGATTCGGACACAGCCGAGGGTAATGTTCGGGGACCTCCCAGCACCTAGTAGGTTTGGGATGCTTCCGATAACATCCCTCACTGTCGACTTCTTCCAGCTTCAAGGACCGCCGAGCACTATTTTGTCATTGAGCCAGTTCTGCGTCACGCGTTTTTCTGTGATTTGAAAGGAGGAAAAATCCTACTTATTGAGTGGCTGCCGAAGTTCATAATGTGTTTGAAGGTTCTCATGTGCTAGATGTTGAAATCTAAAAGATTAGTTTTCGAACTTTTCCACAGATGCCCTAAGTCATCCGTCGTCCAGGATATGAGCTGGAGATATATCTAAATCCGTCTTGTTATCCAAATGCTGGAGATCTATCCAAATGTTCAGATGACGATAATCCGATAATACTGCCCCAACGTATCCATCCACATTTGAGCACTGCAACAAATACTGCTGTTATTATGAGATTTGCGATCACAAATCTCGCAATAATTTTCTCAATATTCATCAGCGGAAACGAAGCCGAACGTTCAATTTCATTAAATTTATCCACATTCATGCATAATATATGTATCTATTCAGCCATTCAAATGATTTATTCGCTACATTCCCTTTCAAAGCATATTGTTGCTGCTCTTGTTATCATCATCGATGTGCGCCAGTCAGAAGATTATGTATGTACTTTTGATGAATATCCTTTCAGTGCTTTCTGAAATTCCCTTGGTACTGTATCGGCTTTCCACCACCGCTCGCATTTCATCTAATTTGTTGCCACAAAACTGCTTATCTCTGACGAAAAGCTAAAGCAATACACAGCAATATCAAACATTCACTGAATTCGACATATTGAGATTTGATCTGGAACGATTGCCTTATCGAAAATCTCATGAGCGTCACGTCACGATTGCTCAAGGCTAGCATCATCATTTAGGGTACTGAAAATGCCAGCGATTATGTCATCTCCTTACCGCATTATCACGACGAAGTATCTATCTTCTTAGGTTTCTGAAAACCAGAAAGCCTAATAGAAACGAAAACACAAAATTTTGGGATTGCGAAACACATTGCGAAAAATTATTGTGGAAATCAATTTTATTTTGCTTGAGTCTGCGAAAAATGTAATAATTTCATGCCATGATGACTGTGTTAAGTTGAAATCTGAAGTTGAAATCTTAACTAATTAAAACTGAAATTCGCGATATTCAGTTAGAGTGATAATGTTTTTGCTTGTTAAATGTTTGCAATAAGTTCGAGAGGCATAAGCGATAAACGCAGACGAAGAGTTCGCGCTTTCAAGAGCAAGATTAATGATCGAGTTGATCTTTTCGTTTCTTTTTCGCGTTGTCAGCAAATGCGTATCATTAAAAAAGATATTGATGATGTTACATATAATGTGTTCATGTGTTTTCACCAAAAAAAAAACGTGGTAAAAACCGCAGAAAAAAGCACTCAAACTTAAATGTAGTTAATTTTTCATCTCTTCATCTGCATCAATGCTAGCAGATTGGCCAGCGCCAATCATTGATTTAAACTTTTTCAATTTTTTTCAAGCCGCTTTCATCCATACCAGACGAATTAATCACTCGATTATCGTCGGAGCTGGTGCGGCGGAAAGTTGCTGACAATAATATTGTTTTGAAATTTTCTTTTTATTTCGAATTGTTTGAGAGTTTCGGATTTTTTCTTAATTCCAAAAATTTTCAGCACCAATAATCGACTTAGGCGGTGCGGATGAGTTAGTCGGTTCGTTACGTGAGGATCGAACGATTGTGAGTATTGTGCCAGAACTGAATATCATCGCAGATACCGGTACGTTTCGATTCACATTGTGTTATCGTCGCTTTCTGAAATGAAAATCTGTTCCAC